TCCATAAATGCAGCAAATATTGTATTCAGTCCATTAAGCTTTTATCATGTGCCTTATACACTAGGCTGTTATTAAAATTTTAGCATGGCATGACCCTTAACACATGACATAATTTAGAATGACACATTTTGTTTTGAATGATGCAAACTGGGCTGGGCAGGATACAAGTAATTATAGCCCAGATGTGAGGGCGCACTTCCCATAGCAATACAAGTCCAAGCAATACTAGGTATATGATAAATACAGTATAGCGACTATGGAAAAGGATTGTGGGAATTATTCAGGAATGGCGAGAAACTAAATCTACTCGAAATTTGTGAAAAGCATTCTGTGATGTAATACCGGTAATGAGAATACATCACAGTAGGTTTCTCATCAATAATATAGTAAGATTGTGAATTGTCAACATTTCAGTGTGTTTCTTTCCAACCAGTAGATCAAGTTGACACTGCTATTGATGTGAATAAAATTGCTCTCACCAACAATGGTGAGGAGGCAAATGCATTCTTACCAACTGTTAGACAGTGGCAATTTGAATTCCTGCATCTTCATAGTGATTGTAAATATATTTGATAAGATAGTGAGGTATGTAAATGAGTACATATCAGAGATCAAATTTATACATGCCTGTACCGGCATGCTCTAGGAAAAGAGAATTGTTGATATGTTGTTTGCTTCATTTAAATATGGGATAGTACATGGGAATTTACTGAAATTACCACCAAAGTTGATGACTGGATTGGGAAGTGACAGAATTAAACTAAATTGGATTTAGAAATAGTTAATTTGTTCATGTACATACATCAATCTGACATGCGAAGGAATGCAAGGGTGATATACAGTGAAAAGATTGTGCAAATTTTTGTAGTCGCACAAATTGCGAGATGATCACAAAAGAGAAACCTACATTTTTAGAGGTGAATAATGCATTGATTGTAGAACTGATTTGTGTTCATCCAAGCATCCACTGCATTCTGTGATGCATTCTTTTGATTGACGTGTATGGAATAGGATGTGCTTTCATATGCTTGCAAAGTGCAAGAATTCGCTTCTTGTGAAATCTGCATTGTATAACACCTTACATGCTTAATTAAGTTGCATACCTTTACCGTATATATCTTTGGTCATGTGTATGCTCTGTTCATTCTTTCAAACTTCATCCTTTAATAAATGCATTGTTTTCACAGCGATTGCGGTTGCATTGTGGAAGCATGTCTACCCGTTTGTGAAGACCCGCAGCACAGCAATGACACCCCCAGTACAGTTAGCTGATATTGCAGCTAATTTCACGCTTTTAGCCATGTCTATGTAAGTCATCTTAAGACAGCTTAAAATGTATTCATTCACTTCAACCATTGTTAGCCCCCACTTGTTAATATCTTGTGAACTAATAGTCCAAATCAGACCAAACTTGGTAGAGACTTGATTTGTCAATATAAGATATATGCAATGCAATATTGAGTTTCAATTTAATTAACGAGCTCATTTGCATATTTAATGAATTTTGAATTTTTGTTAATATCTTGTGAACTAATAGTTCATGTATTTGCTATTTAATATTGACTCAATTGAATTTCCATATTCAATTGATTGTGAATTTTTGTTAAAATTGATGCAAATTTTACAAAATTTATTAGAGATAATCCTGGCTGTTAACTTTGTGTAACATAATTTTAATTTTCAACTAAATCTTCCTACTCAATTTTATACATATACATTCAAACTTTATAATTCATAGCCAAATATAATCACATCTGACAAATGGGAGCTGTGTCATCTACAGATGACTTGTTTTTTATAGTTTATACACACTGTTGTGTACCAGTTATCTATAATTGTGTGTTGGTAGAAGCACACATGTAACACTCATTCCAGAGAGTTTAATTATATCATTCAGTTCCTGTCTTACCCAATTTGTTTTATTGGTGGTGTATGTGCTTACTTAAATGACAGGGATGTGTCTGGTTAACATATCACCTCTATGGACAAACCAAAAACAATGGAAAAAATGCCTAATCAGGTGCTGTGTAAAAATGAGTAGAACATTTCTCATATTTTAATGATGTAGTATACAATATTTGATTTTTGTGTACTTCTATTGGTAATTCCCTTCTCGTGGAGCAATTATGGCATGTGTCAATATTGAAATTCTTCAGTAGATATTTAATGATTTGAAAGGCACCTAAATCAGGTAGATCTATTCAACGAAATGGTGCTTGTGTCCTTCACAAAAATTTTAGCCCCAATGTACATATTTCATTAAGGTATGGATGTATGTGGTTGTCAACCTGCTGTCATTGACTCATTTGTATCAATGACTTTTACAATGAATTTTACCTGTTCCACTCATCATACGAATACTAACTATCATCTTGAAAAATGATTTTCCATGCTATTATTCATTGTTCATAGGGATGGTGATAGCAGTGTCTCATCACCTTCGTTTCTTACTATGATTCAGTACTTCGGTTTACAAAGCTCACAAGTTCATACAAGGTAAAAATAAGTTTTTACGGAAGAGATGATTTCATTCATTTATATGCAAATGATCTGTCTCTGATATACTGTAAAATGACTAATTTTTGCTGGGTTTAAATTTCGCTGATTTACCATTTCATGCATATTGAGTGGGTTTTAAATTCACGGTTTTATCATTTAGTTAATGTGTTCTATGCTAAATTTTACATATTCACTGGGTCGTAATTTAGCGCATTTTCCAGTCAGCGAAATAAGCAAAATTAAAACTCAGTGAATACATGTAATTAACCCCTTTACAGTATGCAAATGTACATGTCTATCAATGATATATTCCTATTTTCTTTATCCTGATCAGTATTTGCTGCCATTACCTGTGTTCCATCCTCACCAATCAGACCATAGTCACCACGTTGCAAAACAGTGTTGGTACTGACTACCATAAACAAGTTATTCATGCCTGGTTTCGCTGTGCACTGCTGACTCCAAATCCAACAGAGCATATGCAAGAACTGACAACGTAAGTAACTGAACCAAGCAAAATCTTGCAATGTCGTCATATGATTTCGCTTCACTAATTGAGCAGTATTTTTGTTGTTTAATAATTTTTGAATCAGTTGACATACATACTGTGTACCAAGGATTTGTAAGAGTATGAAACTCATGTGATATGAAGACCT